GATCATACAGTGTAATGGTTTCCTAAAACAAATCAAACAAGCACCAGAGAAAGTTTTCTCATATCGAGAGTGAAAGTTTGTCTTTCATACTGAATTTGCAACATTTTTAAAGTTTACATTAATTCAGCTCCTTCTGCGATTAGTGTATTCAGTGATCATAACCCCTTACCTTTATTTACAAAATGAAAACCAAAATGCAAAGATTGATAAGGTGGATTTTTGATATCGCTGGAATTCAACAATGGCATTATGCACATCTAGGTAACGTGTGCAGAAGTGTTGTATTGCTTTACCCATAAGTCATCAGCCATTTATGGCCCTTTAATTAAAACAGTATCATATGTAATACTAGATTGATATTTCAAGTGAGGTGTTCTGTAAATTCAATTCGTGTGATTGATCCTTGTCCATAATCAGGAAAAGAATTGGGGACTTCCTGATTAATGCCATTTTGTAAAGAATATACTTTTTATGTATGATTGCAGTTTTTATGTTAAGATCATTTTTTGGTAGTGTACATTTAATATGTATTATTTATTGGCTTTTTGTATATATATATATACGAATATATATATATATATATATATATATATATATATATATATATATATATATATATATATATATATATATATATATATATATATATATATATATATACGAATATATATATATATATATATATATATATATATATATAAACTATTATATTTATATATATATACGAATATATATATATATATATATATATATATATATATATATATATATATATATATATATATATATATATATATATATACACTCACACGCACACACACACACATATATATATATATATATATATATATATATATATATATATATATATATATATATATATAACATGCAAATATTTCTACAACAAGGTTTTTGTAAAGGTGATGTTGATTTGAAAAAATAAAAAGATAATATATTTTCAACGTTTTGTCCCACCATTCAACAACAATTTTACGAGGTTTTGTGTTTCAGACAAACTGCTCAACATTTCATTAAAGATTCGTAAAGCATATTTAACAAAGACATACTATAACAAAAACCCATTAAAATCGCCCATGCTGTACATGTGAGATAAACTGTCTAGATAATGGTAAAAATGCAAAATTATTTATTTTTACCCCCTGATGTATTATCCACTCTCTTCATGCTGATTTTGATACCTTTGGCTTGGAATGACGTTGTTTGGTTTGCCTCAGACTTGCCAACGATACTGTTTGATACTGACCCAATAGCATTCAAAAACAAATGGCTGACGTCCCTATCCTGTTAAATGCAGAAATATATTATCATGATATTATATACTAGTTTGATAAATTGAATAGTCTTCATAGAGTAAACACAGAAAGTACTCCAACACAACAGTATACCGTTATGCCTAGGTCTATGCATAGAGTAAGCACAGAAAGTACTCCAACACAACGGTATACCGTTATGCCTAGGCATATGCAAGCTTCGCAAAATAGACTCCACAAAATGACATACCGTTTTGCATAGGTTTCTGCACATAGTAAGCACAGAATAAAATCAAACACAACAGTATACCCTTATGCCTAGGTCTATGCATAGAGTAAGCACAGAAAGTACTCCCTATAACGGCATACCGTTATGCTTAAGTCTATGCAAGCTTCGCCTAGAATGTTCCCGAATTTAGTCTTCCGTAACGTATGAAGCTTCCCAAGCCATAATTTTCCAAAAACATACAAAACAATTTTTTAACGAGAAAGCAAACTTTCCTGATATTTTGCTTCGACTGTCTTGCCTGAACGACTGTGTAATAAGTGCTTAAGAAAATATAAACGGTGTAGTGAGTCGTTTATGTGTGAATTAAAACCGGATTATTAAAACAAAGATCGGTGATCAATAGGCGTCACTGGCTCTGATGCGTACCAATAGGTCTCACTGGCTCTGATACGTACCAATAGGCCTCACTGGCTGCGAGGCGTACCAATAGGTCTCACTGGCTCTGAGGCGTACCAATAGGTCTCACTGGCTGCGAGGCGTACCAATAGGTTTCACTGGCTCTGAGGCGTACCAATAGGTCTCACTGGCTCTGAGGCGTACCAATAGGCCTCACTGGCTGCGAGGCGTACCAATAGGTCTCACTGGCTCTGAGGCGTTCCAATAGGTCTCACTGGCTTTGATGCGTACCAATAGGCCTCAATGGCTCTGAGGCGTACCAATAGGTCTCACTAGCTCTGAGTTTATTACTTATCGCCAAAATGTTCAAGTTGTTCAACATACTGCGATATATTTCAAGTTCTGTGACGTGAAAGGGGATGTGCGGAAACGAATATTTATAACTTTGGTAGCGAACCTTCTCCTTGTTGCGTATACTCTGTATTTACTCAATGATTAGTATCGGCGCCTGATCAATCTTCTTGGGTCCTGGAGCTTGCCTATGCATGGATGATAAACCCAACCATTATCTTCATCTTTAAAATTTTATCTTCTTAAATTTCTTCTTCCTTTGTCTTCTTTCACTGTGGACGATGCACATAAGAAATCCGGATTCAACTCACTGCTAACCTTTATGTTCGCTGGTACCTCGTGACCTATTACGTTACCCGACCAGTCTTTCCTATCTGGATCATCCAGTTCTGAATACTGGGATACTTGTAAAGATGGCCGGCTTCAAACGTAAGAGAAAAGAGCTACACTATCACGCATACGAGAAATATGTCCCGTTTTTCAAAACCAACCAAAATATATTGAAACAATTTTAATAATGGGAATAGAATCAGCCTACAAGTCATCAGTCATTCAGAAATTTTTTAACACGTTCATTGATTCACTATGATTAGACATATGATAGAGCAACTTATTTACAAGACATTTCAAGCACTGTACAGAACAGTATCATCCAGTAAATATGGAACATGTCGTTCTCGGCGAGGTCGCACAGCTGATGCCTTATAAAATATTATACGATCTACTCCATTTCCGTCACTTTCGTCCACCATCGAATCGCCACGTCTTTCAGGCAAGCCCATAATTTAAATCCTTCTACAAGCTCGTGAGCCTATGTGATGTATGACATATTCAATTCTTCTGTAAGTATCTAAGTACGGTCATATTTTACAATCTGTGGACATAAGTACCACCACCACCCACCCAGGTTATCTGTGACTTCAGTCACTTTGTCTAAAACATTGAACGGTCCTCGCCAGTGACTCAAAAGCTTAGGTAACAAATCAATCTTTCCTTGACGAAAGCTTTATCTCCTGCTTTATCTTTTCCAAAACAAATGACTGTTGTGATATCGCTTTTGCCGATGCATGGCACCTTTGCTGTTTTCATTGCCGGAGCGTGAACAACTTATATATGCTCTCACAGCCTTAAACTGGTGAGATGGGTTTTTTTTTCAGTAACACCACAGACACAATGACACCTCTACGAGTCACATTTCTACAAAAGCTAGTTTGTAAAACCCCAGCGCTCTTTCGAACCAGACTGGCAATGACTTATCGCCTCTCGATTGATGCACAGTTATTCTTTAAAATGTCGAATCTATTATCCCAGCGACGTTAATCTTTGCAACCAGTGCCATGCTGTGGTAAAGTTACCTCCTAAACTAATTTGTCCAAGAAGCTTCAGCATTTTATCTCCTGCAGAGACGATATCCAGCTTAGCCGTGATGAGTTGAAGCCGATTTTAGATAGGGATCTGCCAATAGAATTATCAGATTTTAGATAGGGATCTGCCAATAGAATTATCAGATTTTAGATAGGGATCTGCCAATAGAATTATCAGATACCAGTGTGACGGTTGCTCTGATATCAATGAAAAGCTTTTCATTGAGGCCATGGATGCCGGCTATTACATAAATTACTAACTCGGTAGCCGGTACCTACAGATTGGACTCCAAGTGAATACTGCCATTTGTGGGTTTTTTTTCTCCGTGCCTGTTTAGATGGATGACGCGGTGCCATCTATGGTGCCTATGTAGTTTCCGAGAAACGCAGGCTGTAGCTTCGCCCCGCGTATGTTTGTTACCAACTTTTTCTGAATAGTTTACTTCTGGACAATATTTCTTTATTTTTCCGCCAACATTGACAACATTTGATTTAGTCATGGATTTAAAGTTACAATTTATATCAGAATGCGCTCCAGCGTGTAGTTGGGGTTTTATCGCGCTGGGACGACTTTTACAGCGTACGTATTTCGTTATAGAGCTCTTCGATTATCTGTTTTAGTGGAACCAGCAGATGCTGAATCTCCATTGATTCTGACAGGCTCTTTCCGTTCTACGATACCCCTTTGATTTGCCTAGTTTGGCAAGCTATCTATGGTAAACACATACCAATTCCATTAAATGTCAGGTTTGATATGATATGACTTTGTCTGATTTGCCTAGTTGGGCAAGCTATCTATGGAAAACACATACCAATTCCATTAAATGTGTCAGGATTGATATAACATGTCTGATTTGCCAAATTTGGCAAGTTATCTATGGTAAAATTCCTTCATGAATGTGGCTTAGGTATCCCATTATGTATAATACTTATTACAAAGTTATCATGCATCAAGCTGCATGTGTGTCCAATGGGTTCAAAGGAAGTACTTGTGCAAATATTTGCGGTATGGGAAAAGTGTTACAATATGGTTTTCTCTCAACAGAATGTGTCTATCATTTTACTATCTTGCACAATCGTAATATGTTCTGTACCGCTACTGTGTCAGACGCATGCGACACCTGCGGCTGTAAACCAGCGCTTGAAACTGAGTCACATTGCGCGGCGCCTCGGTGCGTGTGCGTGCGTGTTGTGCGCGCGTGTGTGATGTGAATTTTTAATGTATTTTTAAAAATGACTAATGTCACTACGACGTCTGCAGTGTGGCAGTTTATAGTGATATCTAGCACTGGGGCATCATGCCTCAGACATGTAGCATGACGTCCCACCAAGTCATTGTATCTGGACATCAGGCTGACCGGTCCTTTCTTACTGCTAAACGTCTTGGTATGACTTGGCCGTGGTTCGAACCCAAAACCTCTCACATCCGAGGCGGACGCTCTAACCACTAGGCTACCGGAACCTTATTTTGCACCTTCCTCACAACATTTAGATTAATATGTGCAATTCTATCGTGAGCGGGCAACATGGCTGTCTATAATTTGTCATAAATGCGCTTGCTCAGAATATCTTTAACTTTCGCTGCTAGTCCATTAACAGTCTGAATAATATCTTCATAGGTGCTAGGCTTTGAATGTACTGCGCTCCTCTTGGGTGTCATTAAAAGCGCATTTAACTCTTTATTGAAGAAAAAGTGGAGTGGGGCTATTAAATGAGCAATTCACCGCTTTATTGGAGAATAACACAGCCAGTGGAAGGTTTATTGCAACTAAAATAAATACTTCCCTTGTTCCCCTCTCTTCTTCTGAAACAAGTAACCATTAAGACCTAACATGAGCAAAATAAGTAAAATCTAATCTTAAGGAGAAAATCAAGAATGCTCGTCAACCAGAAGTCAAGAACCTGACATGTTTATTTTCAGCATCTTTACACTATTAAAAGTCTTTTCAATGTATTTTGAACATAGAGATGTGTAATTACATTTTTATTATCTAATATGTTGCACATAGCAGTAGTTATTGAATTCAAAACAAATTGATATTGTAGTGTTCGCTGAATGTTAGGTATTTTTATAAATAACACTGTGGTAGAGATCTTTCGAATTTTCTTATTTGTCATTAAGAAACTCATTCAACATTGTTGTCAAATCTGGTGAAGTGTGGCGGAAATAAAGAATTAACATACTCAAGACAGAAACAAATGAGCATAACCTATGTAATCGTATTATTATTATAATTAGCATCATCGTCTTTCCATAATTAAATCATTAACACTACTGAGTTTGGTAGCTCACCGCATTTTTTCTTTCCAACTCTCTCCTTTTCTTTTCCTCTTCAAAGAGTCTATTTAGATACCACTCTATATCATCGGGCTCCTCGCTGATGGCAAGGTAACAGAAAATTTGATCTTTCCGTAGCTTCAGAATGTCTTTATTTACCATTATCTCTTCGCTCTTATTCTTGATTACGTATCTGAATATCGATTCGTAGAAGCTGAGGTACGTGTACAGTCTGTCTAGTTGATCACTATCTTTTAGCTGACATCTTTTTAGAAGTTCTTTGTACTGCATTAAACCTGTTGTAGAATCTTCCGATGGGAGAGAGTCTATGAACTCGCTTGAACCTACTGCTACCCAATCATAGCTCCCTTGATTAGTGCTAAAAACAGTCTCGACCGTAGTTACCTCAAAATTTGAATTATTTTCCACATAATTCGTATCACTTGAGGCGTGATTTATGTTCACTGATCCAGTAACTGGCGGAGAATCTGTCGTCGGACCTCCTTCGGTTGCCGCCTGCTGCTCAGCAAGTCGTATTTCCGTTCTCTGCTGCACCAGTTTCGCTGTCGTGTCCTCTTGTGGAAGGACGTTTGCTATTCCCCCGACGACTTCTACGAAAATGTAAGAAAACAAAATTAGGCGAAAAATTTTTTCTTCGAAACAAATAATGGTAACTGAAGCCAAACTAGAACAAAGTTTAGGAAAAGGATTCTAAACGCAAAGCTTTATTTATGATGATGAATACGACATCTCCACGTGACAAGTAAAGATATAACCCAGATATATTGCTGCGGTATTATTCATCCACGGGGTATTTTAAGGTATAATTGCCCCCGTTGGTTGCAGCTTTATTTATCCACGCACTATCTTAACGTATAATTGTTCCCGTTTGTTGCAACATTATCTATCCACGGTATATTTTAAGGTATAATTGTCCCCGTTTGTTGCGGTATTATTCATTCATAAACGTTAGCAACAACAATTGTCATCTTGATTTTTTAGCTGCGGACGGCATGATAACATACACGCCTATCACACTTTATATACATGAATAGAACTGTAGCATGCTCGATAAAGGAAATGTTTAAGTACCTCTGGTGGGTTAATTTTAATGGCTGGTTAAAAGTTCCTTTCTTATCTCAGACACAAATATTTATGTATTAATAAAAGTTTGATGTTAAAAGTGTCTGCCAACATCAATGTTTAATTTTGTTTTTGTAAGATCAAAATAATAACAAAAATAAAATAAAAAATAGACTAGGCTTAGTTACTTACTTTGTCCTAAGTCTGCCATAGTATTTAAATGCTCGTCTGCAAATTCTTCTGTTACCTTGGCAGTATTTTTAATAGCACTTGTAGCTTTTATCTGAATAATAATAATAATAATAATAATAATAATAATAATAATAATAATAATAATAATAATAATAATCTTTAGGAGGCAAGTGACAGGAATGTCATGTAGCGACAGTAGATTATAACCATAGTAAAATAATACCGAATTTAACTAATTACCATTACCATTTTGCACGAGCAAAGAAGTGTGCCGTAAATAGAAATGCAGATTTCATTTCATTGCGAGCACACAATGAATAATTTGGAAGGCGGCACAGATTTGGTGGATACAATAAACTACATAATCATGTAGGATTTACATGTTTTATCTTCAATGTATCTCTAAGTGTTAATTATGCTATCAATATTTTATATTCTATTTATGTCTTGCCTGAATATTAATTATGTTAAAAGTCTTTTTATCTATGTATGTCTGAGTATTCGCTTTGCTACCAGTGTTTTATCTACGTACGTCTGAGTGTTAATTATGTTACCAGTGTTTTATCTTTAGCGAACGTCTGAGTGTTGATTATGTTACCGGTATTTTATCTTCAACGAACGTCTGAGTATTAATGATGCTACCAGTTTTTTTATCTTCATGGTACGTCTTAGTGTTAATTATGCTACCAGTGTTTTGTCTTCAATGTACGTCTGAGTGTTAATGATGCCACCAGTGTTTTATCTTCAACGTACGTCTGAATGTTACTGATGCTACCGGTGTTTTATCTTCAACGTACGTCTGAGTGTTAATTATGCTACCAGTGTTTTATCTTCAACGTACGTCTGAGTGTTATTGATGCTACCAGTGTTTTATCTTCAACGTACGTCTGAGTGTTAATTATGTTACGAGTGTTTTATCTTCAACGTGCGTCTGAATGTTAATTATGCTACCGGTGTTTTATCTTCAAAGTACGTCTGAGTGTTACTGATGCTACCAGTGTTTTATCTTCAACGTACGTCTGAGTGTTACTGATGCTACCAGTGTTTTATCTTCAACATACGTCTGAGTGTTAATTATGTTACCAGTGTTTTATCTTCAACATACGTCTGAGTGTTAATTATGCTACCAGTCTTTTATCTTCAAAGTACGTCTGAATGGTAATGATGCTAACAGTGTTTTATCTTCAAAGTACGTCTGAGCGTTAATGATGCTACCAGTGTTTTATCTTCAACGTAAGTCTGAGTGTTACTGATGTTACCAGTGTTTTATCTTCAACGTACGTCTGAGTGTTAATTATGCTACCGGTTTAAAGTACGTCTGAGTGTTAATTATGCTACCAGTGTTTAATCTTCAACGTACGTCTGAGTGTTAATTATGTTACCAGTGTTTTATCTTCAACGTACGTCTGAGTGTTAATGATGATACCAGTGTTTTTTCTTCAACGTACGTCTGAGTGTTAATGATGATACCAGTGTTTTATCTTCAACGTACGTCTGAGTGTTAATGATGATACCATACCAGTGAGGGAACTAACATGCTCTTAGAACCACTATCCTCTTTTGTTGTTTTATTGACTGATGGTCATTTTCAAAGAGATTCTTCTCAACAATGCATGGCAATAATTAAATTTATTCAGCTCTATTGTTATATATATATATATATATATATATATATATATATATATATATAAGAGAATCCATTTATTCATTGCATTACCTGATTATATGATTGTTGAACAATATACAGATTATCTAATAGAGCATGCATTTTCTCATAATTTAGATTTAAATACCCGTGAAGATTCCGTTATTTCAGACGTGTCTTCGGTAAGAGCACTGACTAAAGTCAACATTCCGTCACATTGGGAAATGTCTTGCACCCCCGTTGACACTGTATCTAGGGCTGATAACAGCTTGCCTTTAATCTTTCAAAAATGGAGAAAAAATAAGTAATATATCTTTTACTGATAGTATTTACATTTATATGCGAGGTTTGTTCTAACACAATTTTGTTGCTGTAGATAGAAATATAAATTTCAACTGAAAACTGTATTAGTGTATTCCATTGACCTGAAATTTGAGACTGCAGCTCTGAACTAAATTAAAAATTATCACAAACAAACAATTAATTTATAACTAAATAAAAAGCACACACAAACACGACAATTAATTTATAACGCGAGTATCATTTATCAGTATTAAGTGCAATTTAATCACACTAGGTTTGTCTATAAAACCCATAATTATTACTAGAGGGTTCGTATCACGCTTCCGGTTGGAGACTACATTATATTTGCTCACTTCTTATCATGCATTGTATCAAATCTTGTAATTTTACAATTTTTCAAATGCAATTTTATACAATCTATCAAAAGATGATAATATCATATATGCAATTTTATACAATCTATCAAAAGATGTTAATATCATATATGCAAAAAAAGATTTAGTAATACTTCAAAATTTGCTGACTAAACGGCTTTTAACTATTTATAAAGTCAATCACTTCTCAAATGACCAAGCACATTCAAACAGGTCTCTCACTGACTGAATGTCAGTCATCATGATATATTAAAATTATGCACGAGTAAAATGCATATAATTTACCCCTGTCCTTTCTTCTTTTACATCATCATCGCCGGTATTATTCTGCAATATTACGAAATATATATATATATATATATATATATATATATATATATATATATATATATATATATATATATATATATATATATATAAAAGAATACAAATCATATGGCGAATAACAACCCTCTCAAGCGTACTGGATCCACCAAGGGATCACGTGTGTCAGGGATTAATTTGAATAGATGCAATAAACTGACGACGAACAGTACGAAACTAGTAACTAACTAGCCTAAGCGCTTTCGACTCTTAACGAGTCTTTTT